TTGAGTAGTTCAGAAAGTCTTGCCAAACTTGGCACACACGCACGGATTTGCCCTTTGTGTTACTCCCAGCCTACTCCTGGTACAGATTTATGCAAGTCCCAGCTCTGTTTCATTGCCCCACACCTCAGTGATGCAAACCCAGAACCAAAACCCATCTCAAGAGAGACTTCAGACTGCACTTTTGAATCAATTGGAAATTTGAAACAAAACTTCTTTTTCATGTCTTATCTGATCCTTTTACTTTCTATTTAAAGAGACTCATTGACCTTTCTTACAGCCACGACGCTGCTTGCCAGGCTTACAATACATTCATGTCTATAAATTCAAAGTACACTGGTTATCTGTTCCACGACATAGCCAACTTCTGTTTTCTTAATATTCTGGCCAAACTTTAATTTTTTTTTAAAATTCCTTTAGCATTATATCTGTTCTCTTGAATCACTTTTTCATCTTCTTTTACTGATAAATTTAACAAATATCACTGAGCATGATGGTGCATGCCTGTAATCCCAGCACTAGGAAGATGGAGGCAGGAAGATCACCATGAATTTGAGGACAGCCTGGGCTACATAGTAAGTTCAAGGAAAACCTGAAGTGCAGAGTAAGACCCTGTTTCAAAAAAAAAAAAATCCAGGCATTGCTGTTATACAAGGCACTACTATTTACAATGGGCTATAGTAGTGAACAAAACTGATACAAATATAGATAGAAACAAAAATTTCCGACCTCATGGAACTTGAGTCATCTATGGATAGACAGAAATAGTAACACAAAAAAGTGATATGCATAATTAAAAACTTATAATATGTCAGATGTTGGTAAGTTATTGAGAAAAATAAACAGAGAGAGGGCTAGGAACCATGGGAAGATGTTTAAAATTAAAAATAGGAAGGTCTTATAAACTTGACCTAAGCATGTTGAATATGCACAATTCTGAGATTTGTTTGTATTTGTTTGTTACGGGATCAAACCCAGGGACTTCACACTGAGCTACATCCCCAACCTATTTTGAGGGTCACATGATGCCAGCTGAGTGTAAAAAGTCAGCAAGTATGGAAGAAAAAGAAACTTTCCTAAACAACAAGGAGAAAGACTACAGTGAAAAGTGGCCAGTAAGCAGCAAGGAAAAAAACCACAAGACAGTCTCAAGATCACTGCCAAGAAAGAGGTCAGTAAGGTCCCTGAGGGCAAAAAGAAGAAACTGGAAGGAAGATAAGAGGAAAAAGGAAAATAAGGAGGGCAAGAAAAAAGAAGAAGAGGTAAAGGCTGAGGGCGAATTAAAGGAAGAAGGAAGAAAGAAAGAAGCAAAGAGGAAGGAAAAGAAGAGGAAGAAGAACAGCAACAAGAACAAGAGGAGGAGGAGGAGGAAGAGGAGAAACACGGAGAGGAAGAATCCCTTTAGCTTCATCAGGAAGCATAGGAATGACATCAGTTAAGAAGGGAGCTTCATAACAAAACCAAAATGCTCCAGACAATCGACCAGAGGAAAATTTCTTTAGCCACCTGGACTTGAATTTGAAGAAAAATACTGCTTTTGTCAAGAAACTAAAAACTATGACAGAACAACAGAGAGACTCCTTGTCCCATGATTTTAGTGGCCTAAATTTAAGCAGATACATTGCCATGGAGTTAGAGGGTGGAAATGAAGCTGAAGTTCTTACAAAGAAACTTCTTGATGAACAGGAACAAGAAGATGAAGAAGCCAATACTGGATCTCTTCTCAAGCTCGCAGTAGATACTTTTCCTCCAGCAGCTTCTCAGCTGCATCAACTGAGATCTGATAGACAAGGCAGCAATGGATTTCTGCATGGACTTGGACACAAAAGCAAATAGGAAGAAGTTAGTACAAGTTCTCTTCCTAGTTCCTAGACAAAGGTTGGATTTGCTACCATTTTAAGCAAGATTAGTTGCTACATTGCATCCCTGCATGTCTGATGTAGCAGAGGATCTTTGTTCCATGCTGAGGGGTGGATTTCAGATTTCATATACAAAAAAGAATAAGATCGATATTGAAACAAAGAACAAAACTGTTTATTGGAGAACTAAGTTTAAGATGTTTATGCTACATTGTTTGAAGATGCTTCTGTCACACTTTTCTCATCATCACAGTGAAATGGCATGTATTCTATTGGAGACATGTGGGCCATTTCTTTTTAGATCTCCAGAATTGCACCTGAGGACCAGTGTACTTTTGGAGCAAATGATGAGAAAGAAACAAGCAATGCTTCTTAATGCAAGATATGTCACAGTGGTGGAAAATGTTTATTACTACGGGGACCCACCTTTAGCTGAAAAGACAATGAAAAAGAAACGTATTCCTCCAGGAATATATTCAGAAACTTTGGATAAGGATCTGTCTAAGGTACTACTAAAAAGATTTTGAAGCATGTGCAAGTTGCCCTGACAGGACCAAGAAGTGAAAACTTATGTTATTTGTTGTATGACAAACATCTGGAATGTGAAATACAATAGTATTCACTGTGTGCTCTTCCTTTTAGCAGGACTATTGCTCTAGTAAGAGGATGTTGGGATCCATGTTGTAGATAGACTTTCAGAACATTTGATTGGAAATGGAGGTTAATCAACCTCAATTTAATCAGAGGCGTATCACAGTGCTAAGTTGTTAGAGAAACTTTATCATTACCAAATGGTGGAATCAGCTGTTATTTTCAGAACTCTTATTCTTTTCTTTTTTTTCATTAGGTGCTAACCCCGATGGCTCTCCTAGTTCACTGGACCCTCCTGAGTATCTTTTCAGAATTAGACTAGTATGCACATTTTTGTATACCCATGGCCAGTACTTTGACAGAGATTCCAGTCAATGAAAACTTGAATGCTTCCTTGTATATTTTCAGGGTTATGTTTGGTTGAAGAAAATTTTGGAGGTTTGGACAAAAGACCATCCATTTCCTATTGATATGGAGTACATGATCAGTGATACACATCAACTGCTAAGACCAAAGGCCAAACTCTGTAATTCTTTGGATGAATCCATCAGGTAGGTACCTGACTTGGAAGGAGAATACTTAGTAAAACTAGGCCTAATAGATGACAATTAAGAGAATCTATGAAGGAGAGAATGTTGAAGAAGAAGAGGAGGGGGAGGAGGAAGAGAAGAAGCGAAAGAAGAAGAGCTGAAACAAAAGAACAGTCTGGAAATGAAAGTGATGTAAATGAGCCAAAAGAGGAGTTCTGATAATGACAGTGATGAAGGAGAAGAGGAGGAGGAGGAGAATACAGATTACCTTACGGATTCCAATAAGGAGAATGAAATGGATGAAGAGAATACTGAGATAATGATTAATGGAGGTAGACTAAAGCTCCATTAATTAGAAGAAGAAGATTTCATTCAAGTGCTGGATAAAATGAAGCTTGAAAATCTTCAGCAATGAAGTGGCGAATCTGTGATGTTGCTATTCCTTTGCATCGCAAAAGCTGGCTGAGGAAAGGGCCTCCATTTGGTGGTAGGGAAGGAGAAGCAGGGTCTGCAGAAACCATGCCGTTTATCATGCTACCAAGAAAAGGAAATAAATATCAGTTGAAGATCCTTAATGTGCTCATGTTATTCCAACTTGCTGCAAATTATTGGAACCAGCAACAGGCAGAACAAGAAGAAAGGATGAGAATGAAAAAGCTCACACTAGATAGCAATGAATGACAGCAATAAGAAGATTATCAAGAAATGCTGCAGTCTCTTGCCCAGTGCCCAGCTCCAGCAAACACCAATCTTAAGGGGTGGCCTTGTGACCAACATCCAAAGGGAGAGCCTAATGCAGATCTAATCATTTAGACTGGTGGGAGGAGAGGTTGATTCAGCAGCCTTGTCATTTCCTTAGGTCCCTTAGGTATCTGAGCCCTTCAGCAGTTGAATGAGAGCAGTGGACACATCTCAGCATGTTGGTCTAGAGAGCTGTGACTCTAAACCTCAGACAGGCTGGGCGATGAGGCAGAAACACCAGCCTCTGCCAACACTGGAACAAACCGAGGCTTCTGACAAGAAAAGGTCTTTTGTAATGGAAATCACATGAGGGTTAATCTGAGAATGGCAGTCAAGAAATGAGATGGGGGGTGAGGGATTTAGCTCAGTGGTTTCGCCATCTGCTGCACAAGCGTAAGGACCTGAGTTTGATCCCCAGTACGCGCGCGCACACACACACACACACACACACAAAAGAAATGAGATGATTCACGTGACTACAGAGCAGTTACAGCAAGAAGAACGCTGATGAGAAGACTGAGTCAGAGAAGAACTGGTTGTGATGGTAATGGTATGGCAGAAATGAACTTTTTAAAAATTAAGTTTATTGGTACATTTTAGGTATACATTATGATCACATTCATCAATGGGAATTTGTACCTGTACATGATATATCTTGGTTCTTATTTTTTCCCATTCTCCTTCCTTCCCTTCAACCCCTCCATCCCTCCCTATTTACATAAGCTTTGTTTCTGTTTTTTCCTTCTTTTTTCATTTTTTGTCTCTTCCACTGCCACTCCCCCAAACATCCCCTTCCCCTTTAAACATTTTCTTCATATTTCACAATATCTATTATACATTTTGGACCTCATTCAGTTTCTCACATCAGAGAAACAATTCCATATTTACACATGTGTGTCCTATTTAATTCACTTAAGAGTGTGGCCTCAAGGTGCATTCTTTTAGCTTTAAATGTCTCTAATATATCTTTCTTTATGGCTCAGTAGTACTCCATTTTATGTATTTAAAAAAACCCCACGTATTCTATTTTTTTTTAAAGCTTTATTGATGTATAATTGACACACAAAGGCTGCACATATTGCAAATGTCTGTTATTTGCTTAGTTTGGTTGTTTTGGGGTTTTTTTGGTACTGGGGATCGAACTTGGGACCTTGCAGCTGGAAGGCAGGTGGCAGAATCACTGAGCTAAATCCCTGGCCCCTTAACCCCACATATTCTTTATCCATTCACCAGTTGATGGCATTTGGGCTATTTCCAAGATTTAGCTATTATATACTGTGCTTCTATAAACATGGGTGTGCATATATTGCTGTGGTATCTTGCTTTTCGTTCTGTTGGAAAGATACTCAGAAAGGAAATAGCTGGGTCAAATGGGGCCTCTAATCCTAGTTTTTTGAGGAATCTCCACACTGATTTCCACAGTGGTTGCACCAATCTACACTCCCATCAACAGTGGAGAAGGGTAGCAGAAATGAACTTGAGTTTTAAACTTGATTTGAGTGAACATCCCATGTTGGAAGAAGATATATTTGGGGGCTCCAGGTCTACAGTAAGAAAATATAGAGCAGTAAAACCTTCTAGTAAAAACTTACAGCCAGGACAACAAAATGATGAAAGATACCCAAATACCAGAGAATCCACTAGGAAGGCTTTTGTTTAGGAATTTGTTTCAAGAGGAACAAGGAATGAGGGAGAAAAATCTGTTTTATCCATCAGTCAGTGATAGAAATTTGCCAATAAGAATGAAAGAAAAATGTGAAGATTGTTAGGATACAGAGAGCAGTTAGTCAAGTGGCTTATAAAAGCCTGATACCAGCCTAAGATCAGGGATATAGCTGAGCCCATTGTAAGTATCACCAGCATGTCACAGAAAAAGGACAAGAAGTAGATCAGAATGTTTTGTTGACCTTCATGGGCTTACAGCCTCTGCCTCTAAACAAAACACAGGAACAAGCAAAGCTTTTGTTTTTGCCTTTGCTGTTGTTTTGTTTTGCCCCTCCCCCCACTGAATAGAAATGAGAGTTCTTAGTCTGTTTTTGACAATCTGTTAATTTATTAGGATAGTTGTCTTTCGTTTGCTTTCCAATAAGCATAGTAAATTTAGTTAAAGGCACATCTGTAGGCTACAACTTGATTACATCTTTTTTTCCAGCTATTTTGCATTTTTCTTTTACCATGTTTCAATTTCTGCATGTAGATTTAAATAAAAAACAAAATTTGTAAAGTTGTAACATTTCACATGGAAATGCCGACCAGTCTTCACCAGCTTCAGAAATCTGACCTTTGCTGAAGCTGTAATAAAACATTGTAATTTAAAAAGCAAAACAAAACAAAAAAACTCCAGGTGAGTTGAAACCAGTGTCAGGAGAGATTCAGTGAGGGTCAGAATAACCCGAAACCAGCGCGGATTTGCTCCAAGGTGGACAATCACTTGGCTGTCCTGGGGGCAGAGGTCACCATGGAGAATAACTGGGGACACCGAGGGGCAAAAACCCATAGACAGCATGTGATGTGACTTCTTACCTGTGTGTCTCAGACAGGAAGGACTCAGAGTGTGGAGCTGGTTACTGAGGGAATGCAGGGAGGAGCTGGAGGGATGAAGTGGGCAGGCTGCAGTGAGGTGCCCAGGCCTCTGGGCCTCACACCAGGCCCGACGAGGGGCCTAGCAACCAGCGCTGCTGAACAAGGTGCTTCCTGAGGGGTGCAGAATCTCCTGAGCACAGTCCCCAGGGCTCGGGATGTGGGGCTCACATCCAGCTAGGAGGGCCTGTGCTATGATAAAAGTGTGTCTCCTAAGCCTGATGAATGGAGCTTCTCTCAAAAGCTAGCTTTTCTCTGTCTTTTGTATTTCATCTCTGGAGTCAAAGGAAGAAAACAGGCCCAGGAACAACGGAGTGGGGGAGAAAGCACTGTGAGCCGTGTTTTCCTTTGGCTCTGCTGTGTTGCATAACCAGCCTTCTCTCTGACACTCCTCAGCAGAGGCCTGTGTGTTCGTGTGTGTGTTCAAGGGCCCACCGGCCGTGTCCCAGGCTCATCCACTCTGTGCTGCAGATGGAGGGCTCCCAGCTGCCTGGCTGGGACACTGGCTGCCTGTAATGGCCTTACTGAATAGAAGGAGGGCTTTCCAGCCCCTACCCACAAGCAGATCTGGCCACTGACATAGAAGATCCCAAAGTGGTTTTGCAAAGAAAGTAAAAAATGGTATTATCCGTTGGGACCCTTTGTGCCTCCTAGTGGATCAGGTGCTGCTCTGGGCAGGAAAGGTGTAGCAGTGAGCAAACCACAGGAGAAACCCGTGCTGGAGTGGCCCCGGGTCTGGCTGGTCTAGTGGATGAAGGGCAATGCTAGCGGGATGGGTGAGAGTTCTCCGTGGCATCATCCTGTGTCCTGTGGGTGCCCCTCTCTCCTCCCACCTTGTCTCCCTGTGTTGCCTTAGTCTGCTTCCTGGTCCTTCTCACTGTGGAAGGCCGGCTGGACTCCAGGGAAGGCCAAGAGCAGAAGAGGCCCGTGGGCCTCCTCCACCTGTGCAACGCACACACCCTCTGGGAGGAATGGGTTTCCCTAAAGCCCAGCTTCAGGAAGAGCTTTCAAGGGGAGACCAAGGCTTCCTGGGCGAGATGGAGATAAAAGTGACTCAGGAAGGCAAAGCCCGAGTTTGCTCAGGGAAAACCTCTGCTCAACTCGAGCTTAGATTGGGCCCAAATGGGAGACTTACATTTGTGGACAATCACAAATGGCTGGGGACTTGGGAAGGAGTTCGTTCTCAAGTCTGCATCATCCTCTGTGAACAGTTCAAGGTCAAGTGGGGAGTCTTCAGGGGATGACCAGGGGGAAGCCACGGAGTAATTGGCCCTGTCAGGCTCTCTATCCTCTTCTACTTAGTGATATTCCATTGCCTAGCTAAGGCCCTGTGGCAGAGAACACAGAACAGACATCTCAGGCTGTGAAGTATGTCGGGCATTGTGCCCACCCAGCACTCTTGTAAGCCACAGCACCATGGTATTTGTAGAGGAAATCTTAGTCCCTTTGGGTTTGTCAGTCAAGGGGGCTGCAGCAGTGGACCCAATCCCCAGGCTGGAGGAGATGTGAGGACAGCTGGAGCAGATTTGTATCAAGGGGACCATCAATGTTATTCTTCTACTCACATCCCAAATGGCCCCTGGTTTCTGTCCTTCCAAGGTAGGTAGTTCATTTCTCCCTGTGGTTGTACAGGTATCACTGGCTAGAGTTGTTTTCTGTTGCTGGCAACCTTAAAACCCCAAGTAACTGAGGCTTGTCCCTGGGCCTGATCCCACCCAGGGAGAAATTGGTATAGGACCAGCAAGGTCACAGTGTCCTCAGAGCCATGCTTTCCCTAGTGATTGTGAAGAGAGCAGAGCCACTCATCTTCCTTGTGATGTCATAGAATAGCTGCCCTCTCCCCAGCCTTCTGCTGTGTGGGCATTGTTGCCATTAAGAAAGATCCCTCATGTTTTGGACCGTAGTTTATAGAATCTTGTCTTTACCTTGCTTGTCTCTTGGATGGAAGGGAGGGAAGTGCCTGGCATCCAGCCCAACCTCCCAGCTGTAAGTCCTGACCCATCTTTTTCTAGGTTATCTGTCATTCTCCTTGCTCTTCTTTTCTAGACCAGCCCACGTAAGAGCCCTAGAGCTAGGTCAGAGCTGGGAGATAAGGAGAGTTTCAGGGCAAGAAGAAAGAACCAGATCTCAAAGTCAGACAAACTGAGTGGCTGCAGCTCTGCCATATGCAAGGATGGGGTCAGTGTTTGCTTGCTCTCACATCTCCTGGGAGCTCTCAGTGGCTCTGGAGTGGACCTGATCCAGGAGGGCAGGCTGCTGGGAGTCCTCCCTTGCCTTGCTGCATTTTATTTCCCCAGCATCCTCCACCATCCTGTAGCTCTCTGGTTGCTACATTCACTGGTTTTGGAATTACTGTTCCGGAGGCAGTAAGTGCTGCCCTTCAGTGTACGCAAGTCCTGTCAGGACACCCACCAACCATGGATATTCAAAGGTGATCCAAGTTCAATGGGAAAATAGAATAAATGAATTCTGAGATCCCTTTGATTTGGGGTTTCACTGTTCTATATTTATTTCTTGCTTTTCAGCTTCAAAAATATTTTTATTATGAATTGTTTTGATCATACTGAAAAGTACAAAAATAATACAACAAATAACAAATGTGCATGTAACTAAACCAGATATAAATAAACCCTGGGAAGATCTGCATTTTAGTTACATATTATTGAGGTAGAATTTACATATAATAAACAGTTTTAAAGCATACAGTGGTAAGTTTTGACAAATTTGTACACCTGTGGAGACAGCAGACAGACGAAATATAGGACTTTCTCATGCGTCTTTTCCAGCCAATCCCTCCTCCAGAGGCAACTGCTGTCCTAATTTCCCTCACCATAGATTAGTTTTGTCTGTTCTAGAACTTCATATAAATAGAATCAGACAGACTGAACTCCTTTGTGCTTTGCTTCTTTTGCTCATCACAATGTATTTGGAATGCTTCCACGTGGCTGCAAGTGTTGGTAATTCATTCCTCCTTAGTTCTGAATAATATTCCATTGAATGAATATTCTGCAATTTATCTATTCACCCAACAATGGACATTTGGATAATGTATTTACCCAAGATAAGTGAAGTCACGTGTCCACAAAAAGAACTTGATGAGTACATTCATAAAAGCTTTTTTCACATTAACTAGATACCAGAGTGAAACCAGATGGGTATTCTACTTTATCTGAGCATCCTCCCTCCTACACAATGGAGACCAGATGCTTACCTGGTTCACCTGCATACTCTTGCAGTGGATCAATACATTGTTGGATGGATGAAAATCAAGAAGAGGAAGATCCTGTGTTCCCAAGCCCTACTGAGGGATGAAGGGCAAGAATCAATCCTAGGCAGAGTGTTAGCAGCAAGAACATAGGTATCCACTTATACCATACCCTCACCATTCAGAGCATGATCAGCATTTGGAATATATAGGCTGAATGAATGAATGAATGAACGAAAGAGAGAAAAGCTATAACCAGTCTGTTCTGTGTTGAAATCACTAGGTCCTCTGGCTTTCAGATCAGCCTTGCTTCCTGAAAAGTCAAATCTTCCATGTTAAAGACAGAAAGATAGTCTCAAATGGGAGAAAGATCTAGGTAATTGCTTGGAGGTAAGGGAAAAAGATTCAGTTTCCAAAGTGAAGAATAAATTGGTTCCTTATTTTCCTCAAACCTATAGCTCCCTCTTTATTCCTATACTCTGATAGGCCCTGCACAGCATTTGCTCCCTTGTAGCATGAAGAAATCACCTGGAGGTCCCGGAAGCCCATCGTCATGTCTAGGACAGGTGGCCTCTCACTTTCCCTCACTGCTTCAGGCTGACTCTTCAGAGCCTCATGAGGCATCAGATGAAGGCAGGTGACAGATAGGTTTTCATTCACCCTAGGCAAGGGGTCTAGCCAATCAGATCTTCAGGAATACATATGGCTTTGGATGGAAAGTTTATTCTACAAGAAATAAAAAATGTGGATTTATCTGGGGGCAGAACTCAGTGGTAGAGTATGTGCTAGTCATGTGCAAGGGCTTGGGTCTGATCCCTAGCATAAAAGAAGAAGAAGCAGAAGAGGAGGAAGAGGAAAAAGAGGAAGATGAAGGAGGAAGGAAAAAAGAAGGTGAAGGAGAAGGAGGAGAAAAAGAAAAAGAAAATGTGGCCTCACTTCAGTATGTTTGTTTCAATGCAAGGACAAATACGTTTCTTTAAATGACAGATCTTAAAAATTCTAAGCCCTTGAAGGCGAGAGTGAAGGATTTCAAGAGAAGTATGGAGAAGAGGAGACTCATCAGGCAGGCTGACCTCAGTGTGGCTCTTTACCGTAGAGGATTCTATATAAGGATCTAGACATGTTTATCTACTGGAGCTCACAGGTCATGTAGTTTCTAGTAAGAGACACTGGAAAAAGGAAACTAAGATCCCAAACTCCTGCAATCTTTTGGTTCTGCCTCTAGCTAGGATGCAACGTAGAAGTCATTCTCATCTACGCAATGAGAGCATGGATTAGGCAGTCAGTTGCCAAGACCTTTTCCAGCTCTGAAGCTTGATGAGCTGGACAATCTGATTGCTTGAACAAGCTGCAGCCTGGAGTCTTGGCACATGACATGGAAGGGTGTTCTTCCCTGGGCCCAGGACACCAGAATTCAAATAAAATTGACCTTTTGTAAAGGCAGACTGAAAAACTTACTCTGTGGCTTTCCCTTCTCCCTCATTTTATGGGTTCTGTTCTGAATTTCATATGAGATATCTAAGTACACACTTCAAGCCAAACATCATTTATTTCCTGTTAGGACTTATATATTCAGCCTGACCTTTAAAGAACCTTAAGAGCTTATGATACAAGTAGGATTTATAAGGATTCACCTTATGGCAGATCCTAAAGATTAAAGATAGTTCAGTCAATAAAAAATATTTTTTTCCTCCTTGCTGACTGATGGAACACTTGGTTTCAAATGATTCTGTTTGTTGAACACTTGGCCTCAAATGCTGCTGTTTGCTTGCTTCATTCTTTCTCTTGAGAGGCAGCAGGTCAGTGGGCTTAGGAGAGCATTGAGCAGACTCACATCCTGGCTTTGCCCCTCACCAGCCAGTGCACCTAAGTCAGTCCAATCACTCAGCGACAGGATCACCTGGCAAAGATGGAGAGCTGGGGGCCAATGTCGCCTTCCCCACAGCTGTATTCCAGGGGTGGGTGGCATTGAAGGCAAACCTTAGACTACATTCTGCCAACTGCACAAATGTTTCCTATTAGCAAGCTGGAATAAGGGTCATACAACTTGGGCACTCAGCCAGTTTTTAGTACTCAGACAGGCACCTTGTACAAAGGTCTGCTGGGAGGTGCAGGGGGAGCCTGTGGTAGGGTCCACCAGGATCCAGAGAGACACAAGACCAGGGGGCTAAGCCCTGGTTGTAGCTGTTGATGTTGTTCACTTTTTAAACTTATATATACAGGGCACCGGAGTCTGTGTAATGTTTCTAACTAATGACCTATTTTGGAAAAATTACCCATGTGTGTCACCAATAAAAATATTTTTAGCATCCTTGATGCTAAGTAATAAACTCCGTAGTGTCAATTTGCATATTACAATTTAAATGCTAAATAACAGGCCCCAAAGGTATTGATTCTTGATTTTCTACCTTTAACTTTCTCTGGCATATAGATTACAGGTATTCTGTTTTATGGAAGTTTTGTGTGTGTGTGTGTGTGTGTGTGTGTGTGTTATGGGGATTGAACCCAGGGCCTCTGCACTGAGCTACATCTCCAGCCCTTTTAAATTTTATTTTAGTTCTTTATTTTTATTTTGAGATGAGATCTCAGTAAATCACTAAATTTCCCACATTGGGCTTGAATTTGCAATCCTCCTGCCTTAGTCTGTCACAGTGCTGGGATTACAGGCATTGGCCAACATGCAGAATTATTTTTAAAGTACATTACTACACGAATTATGTGGCAATGACTAAGGGCAAATTACTTAACCAATGCAAGGTTCTGGCTCCTCATCTGTAAAATGACCTCTGAAAGTTCATTGTGAGAATTAAAGTAGAAAATACCTATGAAGAAACAAAACTGTGCGTTTGTATGTGGGCATGCATGCATACAGGCACACAATGACTGGTACACAGAGCTTATTCTCATGCATTTTTCTCTCAAGGTATTCAGAGAGTGAAAAGGAGGCACTTGGTGGGATAGAAAAAGAAAGCTGGGATGGAAAACAGGGGGCTGTGGGAGAATTCTTTAATTCTTATAGGAAATTAAGGAAGTCAGAGTCATACTGTCAGTCTTCTAGAAATGTTCCCTTATAGAATTTAACATATAAAAAGGTAAATCAGCAAAAAGAGAGACATAAAAGATTTGCAAAAGTGTTTTCCTCGCAGCATTTTCTCTTTTCTTTTCTTCCTTTTTTTCTTTAATTTATTTATTTATTGTGCAGTGCTAGGGATCAAACCTAGGGTGACCTCAAGAATGTTAGGTTTGTATTCTACCACTGTGCCACACCCTCAGCCTCCTGAGAGTGTTTCCGATAAAAAGAGTCTAATGTCTGTTGCCTGAGGGCCTCAGGGTTCTAGGTCCTCATCAGGATCACAAGGCTAAATTGTTGCCTTTGAGGCTAACAACCTGGCCCCACGTGTCACTGTGACTAATCACTACTCAAAGTGCTTACAAACCAACCATCTGGCTCCTGTTCTTGGAGGGATCATGAGTATGACCGGGCCATCACCAAAAATCACCAAGGGTCTCCTTCTCGCTCTCTGGACACATTAAGAGAAAAGTGCATGGGAACTTAAGTTGTATGCATTGGCCATTGTGCATGTGCGTGCACATACACACACACACATCATGTCAGCACACAATGGAAAGAACATGACACACAAGACCTGGATTCTCAGCTTGGCTCTATCACTAACTAAACTGCGTGACCTTGGCTACATTGCTTCACATCTCTGAGCCTCAGACACTTCCCCTAAAAATGGGTGAAATAAAGACTATTATTTAATGTTGT